ATACCTAGGTTAGGTGCGTGTTATTTAAAAAAAAAAAAAAAAAAAAAAAAGGGAGGAAGAAAAATTTTCAAGAACCGAGTTGTTACAAAATTATACTTTTGACTTTAACTACTTGACCATTTTTTTTTTTTTTTTTTAAGACGAAACTTTTGATGTTAGTTGCTCGACTATTTTTAAAGAAAGGAGGGAAATTATAAAGATTGCCTGAATTATTACAAAAATTATACTTTCAACGTTAACTGCTCAACTATTTTGAAAAGAAGAAAAAAGAGGGGGGAGGGGGGGAGAGAGATTATCTAGAACAGAGTTGTTACAAAATCATACCTTCGAGTGCTTGAACTACTTAAGGAGTGCTGTGTTAAATGCTTGCTTGGCTACTTAAAGAGAACGAAAGACGAGTCGATTAACGATTGTACCTGCAAACATTTTCGAGACTCGTTGTCGGCGTGGTAGTCACACTCGACGAAGCCTCGGACGACGTCAGAGCTGGATAGACCGGGAAGCCAGGGTATCCAGAATAATCTGAGGAGATCCCGGGGTGGTAACTAGCGGAGCCAGCCTCGATCGAGGCCGTGATCGCGGCTGCGATCAGCAGCAACCGCCGGCACATCAACATGCCCCCTCACCCTGCAAAATATCAAGCACAAACAAACGTTTCTCAACATATGCCGTACAATTTCTTTTTTCTTTTCAATTAAACTTATCTCAGCCGGATATTTTAGAGATTTTCCTCCTTTCAGATCCGAAATTCGTTTTCTCTCCCATTGAATAAATAAATAAATTGAATTTGTTGTCTCATTTTTCCTTCTTCTTTTCCCCCTAAGACTTTTTTTTGTACTCATTGTACTTTATTGTCATCGTCATTTCAACCGGTAAGTGAACAAGCAAGCAAACGAGTAAACAAATCTCCAACATTGCCAGATTGTATCGCGAGTTAAACGTATTGTTCGCGCGCGACAATTTTAATGCGAGACACACTTATTAAAACGGGGGCCGGGGGGGGGGGGGGGGGGGGACACGTAGCTCTGAACAACAGAAGCCAGAAACTCGCTGAGATAGCGGCCGGGATTATGCTAATTCTATTCAGCCGCTTATTTGTCCCTCAAACCTAGGAGTGTGTCGTTACAAACAGTCGGTTACAGTTTATCCCATTCGCGTACGTTCCCGGTAATTTTTTTCCCTTTTCCGTCCCCCTTCTCTCTATTTTGTGGGCCGTGTGTTTAACAAAACAGAGGGAGGGGGGGAAAAGCGCACGTGGGTAAACCTCGAAAAGAAAAAGAAAAAAAGAAATAATCAGATTTAAACGAGGAACCTGCGTGGTACGCGTGCCGCGAAAGGTTCCGTTTGTTAAGTCGGCGGGCGGAATCTGGGCCAGACACGGTCCAGGAACACGTACCGGAGGCTGGAATATGGTAATTTGGCCCGGCTCGCGCCGTACGAGAGAGTGTCGCTGAAATTGCAAGCGACTTAAAACGCACACGGTCGATTGAATACGGAAGGGCGGAAACTGGCGCGGAGGAGCCGGCTGCGAAGAGTTAAATGTTCGAAGGATTTCTTCGAATGGCCTGTCGCGGTTGGTGAACAATGAGAACACAGGGTGGCCACTGGAACAGCCGAAGGTTGTTTGAGTCAAAAGTCACAACTCGTTCATTTTCAATCTTTTTTTTTTTTGTAGATTGAAAAATCCATTGATTATATTTTAAAGTGCAATAATAAAAAGTTAAAGAAAAAAGAAAACGTGCGTTTGTAAAAGTTATTTTTGTTTTGTATCATTCAGTGACCAGAGTGTTCGCAAACATTATTGCCGTGATCACAAAATGGCGGTCATCGCGGTCAAAATGGCGGTGAACGAGCGCTTGAACGAATCGTGCAAATGGAATTCGATATGTTTTAACATTTTTTAAATTTAACAAGGAGAATTTTTATATTCTCGTTGTACATTTACATATCTGTATACGTATTTACATATCTGTATACCTACGAACGTCTCAGAGACGTCATTGTAGATTTTAGGTTAGGAAACCCATGACGTCACGTCTCTTTATTATTAAAATGTTATTAAATAATATTATTAATAATATCATTAAGTAATATTATTAAAATTAAAAAATTTGAACAGTATTGCCAGATCTGTTTCGAGAATTATTCACGAAGCAGAAACGTGAATAAAGACAGCGATTGATGAAAATTAGGATGAAAAATTTAATATATATCTGACTATTAACATCTATTTAACAGTATTAGAAAAATGTTGACTGAAATAGAATATCTTTATAAACAATATAATTAGATATAACTTTCGTTTTTTCCGTTTACAAATTCGCAAATATAATTAGATAAACAATATAATCATATATATAACTTTCGTGTTTTCTGTTTAGAAATTCGCAAATTCACAACCTGAATGATAATTCATTCACTATCTTTATCCCTATTTATTTAAAATCGATTTTAATTGAAAGTTTTGAAGCTTGTCGATACAAATATTGTTTGGAATAAATAAAGAGGCGCATTTATCTCTTGCAAAACTCGTCCGTGCTTCGACTGACTGACGACATGGCGCTGCAGTCGAGAACGCCATCTTATAAATTGAACATCGCGACCAAACACGACGAGAACCGAACAGCGCCACCGCGCTGCACGGCACTGGAAACGGTTGAAATCCGTTTCGGCCGTTAAACCGCGACGAGAAATCGGCGTTCCGGTAATCCGACAGTAGGACGTTCCACGAACAGCCCGGGCCTGAGTTAAATTGCCCGCACCGGCATCGAAATTGGGTCGGCGCACGAGAAAATCGACTGCAGATTGAGAGGACCTCTTCGCGGTGGATCAACCGTCCTCCCCCCCCCCCTTCCTCTCTTATTCTTCCTCCTTCTCTACTCTTGATTTGTCCTCCTCCTCCTCCTCCTCCTATTCCTTCTTCTTCCCTCTAGCCACGGCCGTTTTCATCGATGCGAAATTGGGGCCGGCGAATCGTCGGCCAAGAATAGGCAGGCTGTGCGGATCGTGGATCGTGGATCGACGATTCCTCGATCCCCGACGTGCTGCTCTTGGAAGGCCCGAGGAAGGAACGATTCTGCGTAACAATCCTGCGAGTTGTCTCGGCCGGCTCGCGCTCCAATTCCGGCTGCACTGCTCGCGGCCTCCCGCGCAAATTGGCCGTGTATTTTGGCCTCTTTCTCTCTCTCTCTCTCTTTCTCTCTCGTCCGACGCCCGCACGATCGTGTGCCAGCGATTTCTATAATTGCGCCAGTGAAATTCCTTCCGAGGACGAGGGACGCTCTGTCACAACTTACGGGTTTTTTTTTTTTTCTTTCCGTTTTCGTCGTTTCGGGTCGTTTTCCGTTTCATTGTCTACGAACCTCTGCCGCACGTCTCGCGTCGTTGCCCCCTGTTGTCCAATTCGATGATTCGGTTGAACGAACATTTTGTGACAAATCAGTACGAGTCTGGATATCAGTGATAACTCAGATGAGGGGGGAGGCTATCTAAACGTCTCCTTCAATTTTTTTTCATGGGGTGGAAAATGTTCGTTCGATGCTTCGGTTGGACAAATATTTTGTAATTAATTAGGAATATTTTGTAATCGAGGCAAGATCTAAACCTAACCTAAACGTCTCCTTCATTTTTGATGGTACGAGAAATGTTCGTTTAATGATTCAATTAATGATTGCGAATATTTTGTAATTAATACAAATCTACATACGCAAGACATCTCAGCTAAATGAACCTAACCTAAGCGTCTCCTTAATTCCTTCAAGCGAATCTACGTCGGTAATAAGAAAGAGCTTTCCAAAGTCACCAAGGCGTAATTTTACGTCGTTAAACACCAAGTGTTTACATGTTCCATTCAAGTGGAATTCATCATAATTCGTCGCGATTCAGGCAAGACTCTTTACACGGTTCGCTGCAATGAAAACATAAAGCCTCATTATCGGACTACCTATCAAGTCACACTCGACCAGTACGATCGAGTACAGTCAAATACCTGTCCGCGTAATTTAACAAAAAAAAAAATACCGATAAAAAGTTCACGAGAGATGATTGTCAACGTGCCCCTCTTCGGCGAGTGTACCACGCTCCGCCAAGTCACGTGCATGTGTACCAACAGAACCAGAGCCATTATTCCTGGCAACGGCGCGCACCGATAAAACCTCGTTAATTTCCCTGGCCGGCTGGAGAGGTTGCACACATCGAGAAAATTCTCGAGTCGGAAACAGAGAGGGCGCAGCCAGCCACGGCTGGCGGAGAAATCCTCGGAGAAGACAGCTCAGGCTCGGTTCCATTAACATTTGCCCCGTCTCGGTTAGCCTTTAATCTTGGTGAAAATAGGGGCACCGGAAACCGTTCCAGGTTCACCATCGGCCTCGGGAACCGGTTGGCAAGCGGCGCCTCTTTCCGCGTTATTGATCACGCGGGCCGGCCTTTTTACAATCAATTGCCATTCCGTCACGGAATGGTCGATCGATGCGAATGCCGGCTCGCAAAAAGCTCAGCTCTGGAGCCTGAACGGAGCACCAAAAGTGGGGGAAAGTAAGGGGGAGGGGGGTGGCGCGATAGGGTTAAAATTCAATAAAACAGCCATCCGGGCCGCTGCTCATAAATTTCCGCGAAGAAGCTACAACCTGTTGCTTAATTATAGCTTCTCACGCGACCGCGGCCGCGGCCCTCTCTCCACCCTTCTTTCTGTCTCGATTGGTATGCACGCCTCGATGCATGCGAAAATCAATGACTTCTCCGGCACCGATATCTGCGGCCAGAGAGCACCGCCGCCGCTTTTCACTCGCTTCGGCTCCTTCTCTCTCGATCCACCGCCGCTCGAAAATCTATCGAATGACCGATAACGATCGATGCCAGCCGCCGATTCAATCCGGGGCAATGTCTGTCCGTCGCCACAGACGAGGTATATTTATATTTTATCGGTAAGTTCAATCTTTCATAAAATCGTGCTTACGGTACAAAGATCACTTACTCGGGTTGTGAATTTACACATTTGTGAATTAAGAAACGTAATTCGAGCAATTTTTTTCCAATACTTTTTAAATGTTAATAGCCAAATGTACTAAATATACTAAATATATTATTTACTAAATGTACTAATTAGCGAATATAATAAATTATTCATCTCGATTTTCACCAATCTCTGTTTCAAATCGTTATATTCCCTCATTGATGTAGTAGCTTCACGTTCTGTTCAATGAATAATTCTTGAAACGGATTTGGCAACAATGCCGATGTTTTTTGACTTTAATTTTCTCCACTGGTAGTGCTGCCTGAATCGGTACGACAGGATGTGACACAAAAATGGTAATGCAGTCCTACGACTGCAAAATCATGGCAGAAAAAATGCATAATGTCTGTTCATATACCTCGTCTGTGCTGTCACTTTGTTCTCTGTCGCTCATTACGGGGTTCTATGTTCACTGGAACGCCTCGATTTCGACTTTCCCCCCTCCCTCGGTCGGTCAGGGAAGAGTGCCAGAAAAAGTGATGATTCCGGGTAAGTGATACCACAGAGAGAGAGAGAGAGAGAGAGAGAGAGTTGGTTTCCACGTGAGGGATCTCGTAACGAGAGACTCCCGTGCACGGGAGCAATAACGCGATATTAAAAATTACTGGTAATAAATAAGGCGGAAATTGCCGCGGGGAAGATGGAGAATTTTCAAGATGTATCACGCTGCTGCTATCGGTGACTCGTAGTGGCTTCAAGCTTCCGGGGAAAAGTACAGAGGATGATTAATGCGTCCGGTTACACG